GCCTCGAGCTTGCCCGATTCCGGCAAGCCGAGCCTTGCCAGCCTCGGGCGAGCTCGAGTCTTGCCAGATTGACGAGGCCACGAGCTCACCGAAATTGGGCGAGCTCGGCCTCGCTAGATCGGCGACCTCGAGTCTCGCCAGATCGACGACCTTGAGCTAGCCTGAGGCCGAGGACCTCAAGTCTCGCCAGATTGGCAAGGTCGTTCCTCCCCTGTGGCCGGTCGCCGTGGCCGGCCATAGGCCGAAAAGAGAAAGAGAAAAAAATAAAAATAAAAATTCGATTTTAAAAAAATATATTTTTATAAAAATGGGTGGGCTTAATGAGTTGGTTGGAAATAGGTTCCACACTCAACCCATTAAGACCCATTTATGATAGATTTACAACTTTAAAACCCATTTAAGATGGGCTTTTCAAAGTTGTATTAACCAATTTATAACCCATTTATTTTTTAAATAGGTCATATATGGGTTTTAAGACCCATTTAACATGTCTGCCCTCACCTATGGCAGAGCAAGAGTTGCTAGGCCTAGACGATGAAGTGGGGGGCGGTGCCCTTTCTTTTGTAGCCTTTTCTTATTTTTCAATCTAATTCATCTAAGTTTCGGTCATTACTGAGATTTAGTTAACATTAGCGGCCATGTGAAATGTGGTAGTACCTCGACCAATAAAAAAAAAATAGAGAAAGTACTAAAAGAGCTACGTCAATATTTTCCCTTATCCAAGTTAGGCGAAATTAATAGTGAGATTTCATTATATCAATTTGACAAGTATTAGAAGTTAATTACATTTTTTGAAAATTTTAGGATTTAAATTAAAAATTTTTGTCATGTTTTAGAATATTATATGCACTTAGCCTGACCATTGTGTTTAAATGTTTTGAAATTTAAGTTTTTTTATTATTATCAACACACTAGTTTCTAAACATTCCCAGAGCATCAGTATACTGACTCCACGCATAAAATCCTTCTTTTTTCGAACCTTTATTTTAGGGTTAATAAAAAAAAAATCCTAAACTAATATATTTATGATAAATTTATCCCAAACTAATTTTTTGACCACCAAAAACTCAAAATCGATACATTGGTGACAAATTTAGACTCTGTTAAATTGAATTAATATCACGAACAATCACAAACTGGTATACCTGTAACCCCAAAATGGTATACCTGTCAACTGCAGTAAAATTTAACGGAAGCTAATGAAGGGTAAAATTGTCACAGGTGTAACAGTTTAGGATTTTCGATTAATTTTGAGTAAATTTGTTATGAGTGTACCAATTTCGGATTTTTCTTGGTATATGACACAAACAGTCCTTGAACTTTGGCCCAGTGTGTAATTTGGTCCCTGAACTTTTAATTTTTTTAATATAGTCCCTGAACTTTAGCCTAATGTTTAATGTAGTTCCTGAACTTTTAATCTGTTCAATGTGATCCCTGGACTTTTGGTACATGTACTACAATGAACATTTTCATATAATTCAGAAACTAAATTGAATATGTACCAAAAAGTCTAAAGACCACATTAAATATTAAATTAAAGTTCAGAAATTATATTAAATAAATTAAAAGTTCTTATATCAAATTACACGTTAAGTTAAAATTTAAGGGCTATTTGTGTCATTTTCCTTTATTTTGTCATATCTTGCCAAGGGTCAGTGAGTGCACAGGGAATAAACCTCTTTTCTTTTTCGCGACATTCTCGAGTCAAGCACGTGGGCATTGTCCTTTTCTTTTCGTGGACGAATATTTATTACTATTCTTTTAGAAACGGATTCCAAAGCTCCGTGGGACCGTCGAAAAAGAAAAAAAAAAAAGCAGCAAATCTCGCTCGTCAATAGTAAAATATAAAATTTCTAGATGCTGTAAAAAAAATTATAATCCCAGAATCTATCCCAAGATGGACGATAAAATTGCCATTCCATGAACTCACAAGTGCAAGTAGCTGCTGGCCGTCCATTAGCACCACATCTTCACTTTAGACTGTGTGTTAAGAAGTATATAGAAACATCGTGTCAATGTGGTGTGATGTCATTACCAGGTAAAGAACTTTTGTCATGAACATTTTAATTTCAAACTTGATCATGTATTTCTGATCTTAATGAATTAGATCATAGCGATGCCCGCATTAAAAAGAATAGATAGTTGTTTTACGCGTTGTCGATTGGAGTAAACACTCTCCTGCCAATTTTTTACCGGCGGATTAACTATTTAAATGTAATACATCCGCAATTTAAAATAAAAATAAAAAACGTTTAAAAAAGTGAAAAGAAAAATCAACAATAAGGGAGCGGTTTCATTGCCTCTCTCTTCTTTCTATCTCCACTCGTTCTACTAAAATACTGATAAATGTGGTGTTTTCTCTATCGTCACGCACCACCATTGTTGGCGCGCAATGCCTCCCGATGTCCATCGCCATTCGACTGTGGCTTGCCGCCACAATCACAAATCAATTTGGACATGAGGTCGCAGACATTGGGCAACCTTTGGTTCAACGCAGTATGAGGCCTTGTGTTCACACACAGAGACACGCACCGCACGAGAGAGAGCATGGATTGACATGAGAAGATCGGCAACGACGACGTAGAGAGACCGTCGGTGTTGATGGCGGCATGGTGAGGTAGCGATATGGCGAGGTCGGAGATTGTGGAGTCATGCGAGTGGCAGGTGAGGGCGGCCGGATGTTGATCACATGAGATAGAAGGGGTCCTTTTCATTAGGGCCTCACGTCCGGGTGTGATTGTTATCGAATATAAATCTTATTAAAAGGAATGAAACAATACAAAATTGGGAAGAAGAAAAATTGAAATTGCCGTGTTTTCAAACACGAGTCAATTTTTACATAATTCACAATATTGTTGGTCAACATATTAAGTCGTGAAATCATTATTTCAAAATTCTGTATATTAATTCTTTAACAATTTTTTAATGGGGCTATGCGTTTGGTTCAATATTTTGAAAACCCATGGAGGAAAATTTGGGATATTTGACAACCATTTTTAATGGACTTTAAACCAAATACAAGCATTGGGAAAGCTAAAAGCTCAAGGTGCCATGAGCTTTCAGCATTTCAAAGTGCTGAAATAAAGGTTAAATGATTTTTTTCTTCCAAAACTACCCTCATCAATTCTTCAGTTTTTCGATTTTGCCTCTCTTTGCTACTATTCATCTTCTTTGTGCTAGGGTGGCCTGCGAGACCAAATAGGTTGCGCGACCCATGCAATTGTCGCCTGATGTCGCGTGACCCTTGTCGGGGATTGCACAACCCCAAGTGGCCCTCACCAAGGTCATGCGACCTCGGCCGACGGCGCTAGATCTAACTCGCCGGCGGCCTGAGCCCTTCGTTGGAGCCGACAAAGGGTTTGATTTCTTTTTAATGAAAAAAGAAAAAGAAAAATTGCAGCCAAAGCCCTTTGCAAATTTTTTTTTACCAAATACTACTAAACCCAAAGTTACTTTATAAAGGATTTTGTACGTAATGCAATTTACATTTTTCCGAAAAGCCTTGTGCAAAACCAAACGCATCCAATTAATTGTTTTCTTTTTCAAGTTTGGCAAGGCTTCCAATTAATCGATTCACTTTCTTTTTAACTCCCTTTCGGACCGACACATCGATTCATTAATTCCCATGCCTAAGTGGTCGTAACTAGGGCTGTAAACGGTTCGGTTTTCTTGAAAAACCGAACCGAACCGAACTGTTAAGGGTGCCTCCTTGAACCGAACCAAATAGGAACCGAACCGATAAGCCGATTTGGTTCGGTTCGGTTTTCGGTTTCTTCTTCTTTTTTGTTTTTTTTTTTGCTTTTTTAATCATGGCTCGGTTTTCTGTTTTTATGAAAAAAATTTCATGATAATTTTTTTATGATAATTTTTTTAAAATCCCTACGTCGGCAAAAAAAAAAAGAAACATTGTTAAGATTTCCGGATAAAAAAGGCTTAACCCAAAAAAAAAAGAAAATTTCAGGAATTAAACAGATTAAAAAATAATAACAATAATAATAACAGTAATAATCGAATAATATAAAAAAATGCAACCGCACCACAAAATGACATTTTTTCATTCTCGGTGAATTCCACCCGTAGAAAATTCACAAAAAGAGATAAAAAAAATAGAAAAAAAAAATTAGAGAAAGAACACGACGCACACAGACACACACACACCCCTCTCTTTCTCTCTCTTCTTCTCTCCGAAAGGCCAAACTCGACCCCCAAATCCTCTCTCTCTCTCTCTCGATCTTCTTCTTCTTCTTCTTGCCGACGCGCTCTCGGCTTCTTCGACCGCCGCATCCGCAGATTGAGCCGCCGTCCACCGCCGATCGATTCGGAAACCCTCCCCGCCGGAGCGATCGCCGCTGCCGCCGCGTCATCCATTTCGAGCCTTTTTTTTCCGGCGTAATTTATCATTTTTTTTGGGAGATTTTTTTCGGGGAGTTTCTTGGAGAGCCATGGATGCTGATTCATGGGGTTTGATGATTTGGGGGGTTTTCCGCGTTTAGGGTTCGAGAGAGATGAGCGTCGTCACCGGCAACAGCGGCGGCGGGGGCGACGGCAGGGGCGGCAATGGCAAGGTCGAGGCTTGGGACTCGAGCCAGTCGATGGGGAGGAAGAAGAAGAAGAGCAGGGACGGCGGCGAGAGGAATAGTGTGGAGGGCCGTGAGGATGGTCTTGACGAGAGGAAGAGTGTTTATTTCAGCCGAACTGATCCGAACTGAACTTAAATAAACCGAACTAAAAAAAAAAATTGGTTAATTTTGATGATCTGAACCGAAATCGAAACCGAACCGAAATGCACGAAATTTTCGGTTCGGTTCGATTCGTATCTCGGTTCGATTTTTCGATTCGGTTCTGACACCCCCTAATCGTAACCGTCCAATCAAACGGCTGCAATCGCAATTTCTGCACCTGCACGTCAACAGAAAAAAAAAAAGAAAAAAAGAAGAAAGAAAAGAAGGAAGCCAAGAAACGCTGTTCAGAGGTCAATCGGTCGAATGCGGATGTCGCTCGTCGTCCACGGACAAACATAACCGGGGGCGGGGAGCACTTCCACTTCTTTCTTCTCCTCCTCCTTCTTCGAAAGAGTGCTTGCTTTGAAGCTCAAGCTCTCGAGCTCCAATGGCGACCGACTCCTTCCAAATCGACCGCAGAAGCGGTTTCTGCAGCTCCAACTCCACCTTCTACAGCAAGCGCAAGCCCGTCCCCCTCCCCCCCAACCCCTCCGTCGACGTCACCACCTTCATCTCCTCCCGTTCCCACCGCGGCTCCACCGCCTTCATCGACGCCTCCTCCGGCCTCCATGTCTCCTTCCCCGTGCTCTGGCGCTCCGTCGACTCCCTCGCCTCCCGCCTCTCCGCCGTGGGCATCCGGAAGGGCGACGTCGTTCTCCTCCTCTCCCCCAACTCCATCTCCTTCCCCGTCGTCTGCCTCGCCGTCATGTCCCTCGGCGCCGTCATCACCACCACCAACCCCCTCAACACCGCCTCCGAGATCGCCAAGCAGATCGCCGACTCCAAGCCCGTCCTCGCCTTCACCACCCCTGACCTCGCCCCCAAGCTCGCCGCCGCCGCCTCCTCCAGCCTCTCTCTCGTCCTCATCGAGGACGCCGCATCACCGTCGTCTCGACCGATGGGCGGTGACAATCGATCCGCTCCGAGAGCAAAGATAATCACGACCCTGCGCGAGATGATCGCGAGCGGCGCAGAGGCGGGCGGGCGGCGAGTCAGGGAGCGAGTCGACCAGAACGACACAGCGACTCTGCTCTACTCGTCCGGCACCACCGGCGCGAGCAAGGGCGTCGTCTCCTCTCACCGGAACCTCATCGCGATGGTCCAGACAATCCTCAACAGGTCCGATTTCTTCTACCTGTTTTAGTTTTAACTCGGACATTTCATCAGTCGATCAACACCGCACGAGGACTGATCTGTTCATTCTGCAATTCGATTTGATCCATTGATCTGTCCAAAGTTGTTAGAAAAACATCACACGCTCAACTTCAATGCAAACTCCAGGTTCAATTTGGACGAGGAAGGGGAGCATCGATTCTTGTGCACGGTGCCGATGTTCCACATCTACGGCCTGGCGGCTTTCGCGACGGGCCTGCTCGCGTCGGGGTCGACCATCGTCGTCCTCTCCAAGTTCGACATGCACGAGATGCTCGCGTCGATCGCCAAGTACAGGGCCACCTACCTGCCGCTCGTGCCGCCGATCCTGGTCGCGATGGTGAACAACGCGGACCAGATAAGGGCGAGGCACGACCTGAGCTCGCTCCACTCGGTGCTCTCCGGCGGTGCCCCGCTGAGCCGGGAGGTGATCGAAGGGTTCGCCGAGCGGTACCCGGCGGTGAGGATCCTGCAGGGGTACGGGCTGACGGAGTCGGCGGGGGTCGGGGCGTCGACGGACTCGCTGGAGGAGAGCCGGCGGTACGGCACGGCGGGGCTGCTGTCGCCGAGCATGGAGGCGAGGATCGTCGATCCGGAGAGCGGGGAGGCGGGGGGAGTGAATCGAACGGGTGAGCTTTGGCTGCGGGGGCCCACCATTATGAAAGGTATAGTAAGTGCATGGAGATTTTTTTTTTTTGGATAAATAAAAGCATGTGTGTCGTGATGCACATGCTTTTTAGATTCGGCATCTCGATTTACCTATCTATATATCTATTTAGCGATAATGAAATAAATAGTCTCTTAATTTTGATTCAATTTACAGTATCGTCTCTGAAATTTTAATTTATTTAATAGTCCTCGAACTTTAGATTAATATTCAATGTGGTTCCTGAATTTTTTGTACATATTTTGAACATTTTTATATAGTTCACTTTCATGGACTAAATTGAATATGTACCAAAAGTTAAAAAATGACATTGAACAAATTAAAATTTCATAGATCATATTGCACATTGGGCCAATATTTAGAGACTCTTTGTGTCATTTCTCCATTTATCTATTTCTCGATATTCATTTAATGTCTTACTAATAATTCCTAAAATCTTAATTCAGCAATTGCGGGAAAGTCTTGTCTAAAACTCCTGACGATCGAATAATTGAGTTTAGGACAAACATTTGGTACGCTGTAATGGTGAGCTATATCCATGATCATAGTGGAGTATCCCACTCGTTATGGGGAGGACGACTCTTTTTCAAGAGAGCAAATGATTTCCATGTGCACGTCTTCTATTCAACAATAATCTCTCATCCTTAAAAAAATCGAGGGATTCAAGTGGTGGATTGGTGGATGTGGACTAAATGTCAAGTCATATATAATCGTGATTCGGGACTCCGTTTGGTCAAATCAAGAAGCCGCCATAGGCCTTTATGGTCCTGTACTACACAGTCTCTGTGTCCAATACTTATCCTTGTTTGGTACTAGTCATGCTTTTTCGCCTCGTGCGCTAAAGCTGAACTGGTGGGGGTGATATCGGAACCGCTCACCAACGGCCGAGCAAAATGAGAATCGAGAATCGCCCATTGATTTCGCCCAGTTCTCGGGTGGGTCGATAAAACCGGCTGGGGAGGAGTAGAAGGCGTAGGGAGGGCAGAGGAGGAGGGGAAGAGCGGGCACGGCTTGTCAGGTAGGGTAGCAGAGGCGGGAGCGGGCGAGACGATATGTTTAGCAGCTGCAATTGTGAAATCAGTAGCTATAGAGTGGATAACTGATGATATGTTTCTTCATCTGTTGAGACTCCAAATAGACTTTTCTAAGCATTATTCATTGGAGGTCTTTCTTTGCCATTTTCTGAACTCCATTTCTGTTGGGTTTTCGGAAACGGAGTCGTGCAGGTTATTTCAGTAATGCCGAAGCAACCGCCTCGACTTTGGATTCGGAGGGATGGCTGAGAACCGGCGATGTGTGCTACTTCGATGAGGACGGGTTCATTTTCGTGGTCGACCGGCTGAAGGAACTCATCAAATATAAAGGGTATCAGGTGATTTTCCAGAACACCACTCAATCCCATGGCAACTTGCGATAAGTACTTGATCAGACTTGAAATAGACTCCGGCATGACCAGAACAAATGGTTGTCGCAATTTTTTTTTCGCACTTAGACTGAAGAGCTCAGCTTGTTCCTATTTCTACATTCTGCAGGTTCCTCCGGCGGAATTAGAGGCATTGTTGCTCATGCATCCGGATATCGCCGATGCTGCCGTTATACCGTAATCATCACCCACTTCACCGAACAACTTCGAAATGCGATTACACGAAATTCATAAAAATTGACAAAAGATCATTATATAATCACACCGTTTCATTTGCCTTAAGCTGTGCATGATGTGTGGCCGTGGCAGGTTTCCTGATAAGGAGGTCGGCCAATTCCCCATGGCATACGTGGTAAGACAAGCAGGAAGGGAGATATCAGAGACAGCGGTCATGGACTTCGTAGCCAGACAGGTGCGTCCGTAATATGAATAGCATCACCCTTTTAAGCTTGAAAGCTATTGCATGATGCATGATCCATCGATCATGCGAGACGAGCTACATGCTCTGTCGACCATACAACAATTTATCTCTTTTTAAGCTATCTTTAAGTGTTGCTCAGGATCTGTTTGACCAAAAGAAGACATTATAATCACCGATCAAAGTCAAGCGCGAAAGAGCTAAGCATGAAATGCAAAGACCAAAGCTAATTGACCTTGCCAATCTCTTGAAACTTTTCTGCATTTTTACAGGTGGCCCCATATAAGAAAATCCGGAGAGTGGCATTCATTGCTTCCATACCGAAGAATCCTTCTGGCAAGATCCTTAGGAAGGATCTCATCAAGCTTGCAACGTCCAAACTGTGAGGCATCAGGAGCTTATTGCTGCAGCAACGTGCAATCGTCTTTCTCAGTTGATATGCAGTTCCCCTAGCTAGTCGTTTGCGAGATATTAATTCCTAGAAAGTATTTTCCACCTTGAGATTCCTGAGAACTAATTCGTCAGCCCCATGGTCATCTTGTATCCAGCTAAAGAGTGCTAGTTAGCTTCTGTATCGTTGTCTTTTTTGCAAATGCCAGAACCTCAATTTTCTGTAGATTTCCTTTCCTGCTGAATGCAACGAGAATAATTTAAGGTTGGCTGCGAACCGACGCCGGTTTGAATGTAACCCGACTTCGCACTTGAATACTCTCCTTTCTCTTCCTGTCTCGCTTTTCACGCGCTCCACTTTCAATCCAATTTGCACGAACGTAAAGAGAGGTCATGGTCCGAGTCATGAAGAGAGTGAAAAAGGAGATGAGATGACAGATTGACAATAATAACTTGATATGTAAGCTGAAAGCAACTGTATCTTGAGAAGTTATGGTTTATCAAGTTTATGTTCTCATCCTGAGAAATGTAAATGGATATCCTCATAAAGCCATACATTACATTGTCAAAACGTATGCTCATTCTAATACATCTACCTACATTCCAATATCTTCCACAGATCGCTCTGTTACTGCTTGTGCAGACACACTGAAAAGCTGCAGAGAGAGGCGGAGCCCCCAATATCCACCTTGCTGCTTGCGTAATCATCAATCCGAATCTCTCGTATCATGCGAGAATGATGAGCGCTTCCAATTTGTCATGTCAACTTATACCCAACCCGAGCTTGATGAATGTACTCGATTAAACAATTAGCAATGGACCAATTCAATGAACGAGTGTTTCCCCCAAGCTACATGACAGGATGAGAAAGCAAGAAAAATCTGCGACCAAACTCTGACTCTACATAGACAATGGAAGAAGCATCCTTCGCTTCTTTTTCCTGGCCAATCTTATTTGCTTTGTAATTTTCATGCATAGAAGCAACAGCATGGTGATGCAGATTAAGATTAAGGCCAGCTGCATATGCCGGAAGTACAAAGACACTGCTGAGAAGACCAAGAAAGCTAGAATTACAAGCTCCCATATCACAAAGACCGCAACATCCACCCTGCATCCAAATAAAACATAGACTATTATAGTCTGCATAGCTAAATGCAATCCCCAGAAAGGAAGCATATTTAAGATGTAGTGAGAAATCAGAAGTTATATTGCAGTCATAGCCATTCATCTGTAAGTGTGATCAATCAAGTTTTCCAGTTTAATCAAGGTAAACTTAAACTAACAAATATGTCACAAGCACCTTTTCTTTGCTTTAGCACTTACTCCCAGAAAGCTGAAAACACATCCAGCTAATATTCGATCTTGTAAGTGATAAAAAATTCACTAAGACAAAAGGCTAAAAGCGTATTTATGCATGAGAAACCACATTATATACTCAACAGCAACGAAATTTTATAGTGGCACTTTCCAATGTGCACCACCAGCTTATTTACACTATATCTCCTTGAAAAAGCAGAACCAAAAATTGGTGAAGTGTAAGCTTAAGATACATGCAGCAACCATTCAACATTTAGAATTTAGAGCTAAATAGGTCAGCGGCATGTCCATGGGGCATACTATATTTCATTTTTCAGCCCTTAATGTATCCAAAATAGAAAATTCTATGGTAAGAGAAATAGTAAATGACTTTGATTATAGAAAGAGAATACAACAGCTCTGGGAGTAATCAGGGAAAGGATTATGGGGGGAAATTGCATCTCCGAGGGCCACATAACTGGACTAAGTGGAACAATGAATAAGGAGAATGTTCAAAGGTGACAACATACATTTTTTGTTCAACAATGAGATATAGTCTAGTGAAATGTGCACCACCAGCCTATTTACGCTATATCTCCTCGAAAAAAGCAGAACCAAAAATTGGTGAAGCACAAGCTTTAGATACATGCAGCAACCATTCACCATTTAGAATTTAGAGCTAAATAGGTCAGTTGCATGTGCAAGGATAGTCAGAGAATAGAAAATGACTTTGATTATGGAAAGAGCATACAAAAGCTCTGAGAGTAATCATGGAAAGGATACTTGTGGAAAATTGCATCTCCGAGGGCCACATTACTGGACTAAGTGGAACAATGAATAAGGGGAACGTTCAAAGGTGATGGCATCCAATTTTTATTTAACAACGAGATCTAGTCTAGTGAAGGCCTTCAAAATCCACAAGCAGTATGTGCGACATCAACCACGCTTCATACATTACGACAAGAGTTCTGGACAGCTACTTCAGAAAATATCATAGAGCAGCTTTAACTAAGTATCCTCCAGAAATCCCATAGACAAACAGAGAAGTTCAGTTTCAATCAGGATATCATAGACGAACTGCGTAACTATACAGTACTCTAAAACCTTAATGCACCAAGTGAAAGAGTAGAAATTTGCTCTGCTTTAAGTTAACAGGACCAAATCTTGTTTGAGTTGATGGGTCATATTTTGCTTTTTTCCCTTGACAACAAAGTTTAAGACCTTCTACCAAAGATCGTGTGATTGAGAAGACACCCTCCTTACATTAAGTTACCTCTTAATGAAATTGATAGTAGTCAGATTCCGAAGTGAGTAACTATAGAAGAAAATGAACGCGCGCCTGCCACCCGCACCCGCAAGCAGATAGCTTATGCCTTCAAACCCAGTATGCATCAAGCCTTTCATGATGCATATACAGTTAAAATTTAACATGGAAAACATCAAAACCTTCCTTTTTTCTTCCTACGACTGCCAAGCTTTTGGTCTACACAATGAACCAAATAAAAACACCTCCCAGAATCACTTCCTTCAAAATTGCTTAAGCTTCAAGATAAAGAAGCACTCAACCGACCCAACTACCTAAAGTTCCAAAATCATAATTTTGTCTACATCTCATAACCCTTGATGCTTGATCTCACAATCCCATATGCCAGGATTTCCCATGATCCTCACACTCTCTATATCACACACCAAAACAAACTAAAAACAATCTTGGAAGACAGAAAAGACAAGAACGAATTACGGGACAAACTATCTCGCCACCCCACAAACAAAGAAAAGAAGAAGAAGAAGCTGAATTCAGGCAAAGCAAGCCACGGAAGTTACCTTGAAGAGCCGAAACTAGAAGTGGAGGAGAAAAGAGAGACAGAGGCCCAATCATTCTTGGATCGAAGCTGATACTCCCTCAATTGCTCCGCCAAATTCGATCTCGTTATCATGCCTGCTCCGTCGAGAACGACCCCTCTTCCCTTCGTTCCGATCGGGCGGAGCTCAAGAGAACTGGGGGTGGGGGAAGAAGGAGAAAAGGGAAAGAACCCAGCCCCAGAATCGAACTGCAGCGACGAAAAAAAATTGAATTTTGCAGCTTCGAGAGCTGGAAGAACGGAATCGAACCAAGAAAGAAGGACGAGGAACGCGAGATCGAAGAGGAGCGATCAGTGTCCGATTCGATTTGGACCTGGGTTTGTTCCGTGGACCTTCCCGTAGCTTGACTTTTCCTCCCCGTTTCTGCCTCCTCCTTTCTGTGAGACTCGCTGCTGATGTGAAGAAGTATATTTTTTATTGGTCGGAGTGAGGAAATAATTTACACGCTCATCTTCATCATCGTCGATAACGATATGTAAAAAAAAAAATTGATTAAAAAGTGAACTCCCGAGTGTATTTTTAGGAATAATGGCACAGGTGATCTATAAACTTTGACTTATTGTGTAATATGATTTAATGTAATCCATGAACTTTAGCCTAATATTGCAGTCCCTGAAATTTTGATGTAGTCTTTGAATTACACGAAAATATTCAATGTAATCGTTCTATTAATTCAAGATTAGAGACAATATTAAATACCTTCGTATAGGTCAAAACCAAAAAATATATATATAGGTTAATGACTAATTTGAACATGTATTGAAATTTTAAGGACCACATTGCATGTTAGGCTAAATTTTAGGAACCAAACTGCACAATAAGCTAAAATTTAGAGACTATTTGTGTCATTTTTGCTTCCTTTTTACACTTGCAATCAATCTAATGATAATCCTAAATTTAAATTTAAATTCGCGGAGAGAGGTTGGCCCGACCGGCGAGATCGTTGGGCCTCGATTGGGCCCAATTAGGGCCTCGAAATTGTATTGGGCCTCAAACTTCATGGGCCCACAAAAACTATAACAACCTTCTCCATGGGAGGAGGGACTATTTGTGACTCGAGAGTCGCGAGGGAGCGAGCAGCGGCGAAGAGCTCGAACTCGAACAATGGCATCGTCCGAAGCGCCACCAGAGCCGGCGGTCTCCGCCAACCCCGACAGCGCCGGCTCCGACGTCTCCACGCCCGACAACCTCGTCTCGCAATCCCAGACGCCGCTGGACCCGGCCCCGATCTCGCCGTCCGACCAGTCCGACCGCACCGAGACCGAGCTCGAGCCTCCCGCTTCGGACACTCAGGACGACTCCTCCGACCCTCTCCCGGACGCTCAAATCCGGGACGACTTCTCCGAGCCGGCCGCCGGGGAACGGGGCGGAGCGGCGACCGAGCCCGGGCAGGCCATCTCCATCGCGCCAACGAGGAAGCGGCGCCGTAGGAAGAAGTTCTTCACCGAGATCAACGGCGGGCCGTCGTTGTCCCGGAACCGGAGGTACAGATTGGCCGATCCGGCGAAGGAGATCGACATGGAGGCGCTGATCGCGATCTCCGTTGGTTTCCCGGTGGACTCGCTCACGGAGGAAGAGATTGAGGCCAACGTGGTGTCGGTAATCGGTGGTTCAGAGCAAGCGAACTATATAATCATTCGGAACCACATTCTAGCGAGGTGGAGATCGAATGTGTCGATGTGGCTGACGTTTGAGCAAGCGCTTGAGGCGATTCGGACGGAGCACAGAACCCTTGTACACTCTGCGTACTATTTTCTCCTCGAACACGGATACATCAACTTTGGCCTCGCGCCTGCTATTACGGAAGTGAAGCTGAGGTCGGTTGATGGTGTCGAGAGAGCAAATGTGGTGATTGTTGGAGCTGGAATGGCGGGCTTGGTGGCTGCGAGGCAATTGGTGTTTCTAGGGTTTAAGGTTGTGGTATTGGAAGGTAGGGCTCGGCCTGGCGGGCGCGTTAGGACTAAGAAAATGAGCGGAGATGGAGTGGAGGCCGCGGCCGATCTTGGTGGGAGTGTGCTCACTGGAATAAACGGGAACCCGCTCGGGGTGTTGGCGAGGCAGATGGGGTTACCCCTTCATAAGGTGAGAGATGTATGCCCTTTGTATCTGCCTAATGGGAAAGCTGTGAATAAGGACATCGATTCTAAAGTAGAGGTTTCGTTTAATAAATTGTTGGATAGAGTTTGTAATCTTAGGCAAGCTATGATCGAGGAAGTGAAATCGATCGATGTTCCGTTAGGAACTGCACTCGAAGCATTTAGGAACGTGTATAATGTGGCAGAAAATCCACAAGAGCGAATGCTATTGGATTGGCACCTCGCGAATTTGGAATATGCAAACGCTTCTCTAATGTCTAATTTGTCGATGGCGTACTGGGATCAGGATGATCCATATGAGATGGGGGGTGATCATTGTTTCATCCCCGGTGGCAATGAGAGGTTTGTTAGAGAGTTTGCTAAGGACTTGCCAATTTTCTACGGAAGGACGGTGGAGAGTATTAGGTATGGGCTTGACGGGGCTTTGGTTTATGCGGGTGGGCAGGAGTTTCGTGGAGATATGGTTCTTTGTACTGTGCCTTTGGGTGTGCTAAAGAAAGGGACTATCGAGTTTGTTCCCGAACTTCCTCAAAGAAAATTAGATGCCATAAGTAGATTAGGGTTTGGATTGTTGAACAAAGTTGCAATGCTGTTCACTTATAATTTTTGGGGAGCAGACATCGATACGTTTGGGCACTTGGCTGAAGACCAGAGCATGAGAGGGGAGTTCTTTCTATTCTATAGTTACCACTCAGTTTCGGGAGGCCCGCTTCTCATAGCTCTTGTTGCAGGGGAAGCGGCAATCAAGTTTGAGATGATGTCTCCGGTGGAATCTGTGAATAAAGTCTTAGACATATTGAGAGGCATATTCACCCCAAAAGGGATTGTTGTTCCTGATCCAGTTCAGGCAGTTTGCACTAGATGGGGGAAGGACCACTTTGCGTATGGTTCTTATTCTTATGTAGCAATTGGATCTTCTGGTGACGATTACGATATTCTTTCTGAAAGTGTTGGAGATGGAAGAGTTTTCTTTGCAGGAGAGGCAACTAATAAACAATATCCAGCCACAATGCATGGTGCTCTTCTTAGTGGGATGAGAGAGGCCGCTAATATGCTTCGCGTGGCTAAAAGAAAGGGCATCGGTTCACAGTGATGCAGCAATGCACTCGGAGCGTACAAGTCTCGCTAAATGCAGTCAAGCAGTCGATTCTCTATTTTCTTTTCAGTCACCTAGTATGTAGAGCAAATATTGGATTTCTGGTTGTCTTCTTGTATATGGCTTGATTTTGCAGAGATGGTAGCTGAGCTTAGCAAGGAATAAAACTGACCCATTTCGAGCAAGTTTGATGCTGAGGGAGGTTTTATACGTAGCTATGCCAATCACTTGCGGCTTTCTGTTAGTTAGATGAGACATGACTTAGGTGCATGAAATCCTTTTTAGTTTAGTGGACAAGGTAAATTTTTTCATCTTTCCATTTTGTGTATATGTGGATTTTCGTCATTATTATGGACCTCTGTTAAGTTTCAAACATATCTCACTTTCCTGAAGATACGTGTGCAAGAGTTTCATTATCAGGCAATTGTGATTTACAGTAACCACCCATATTTTCAGGGGATGATTGAATCAAATCATGATGAAACGTGATTGATCCAAATGTGCTTCAGTTCTTTTGTCTACTCCAAGATAGCGCAATGTTGTAGACCTGGGTTTTTGTCCCAGTTGCTCAGTTTTGGTCACTTTAAGTTTCTGCTTCTTGTGTTTTTCATTATTAACCGGGCAACATCAGGCGTCACAAGTTTTTGAAGAAGAGGCTTGAGCATATCAGCTACAGTTTTTAACAGTTCGTGAGCCACCTTGGTCCTAAACTCGTTCAGGATAAGATATTGTCATACACCAATGCGGAGCTGAGAGAGACAAGGCTCTTATGCGATGCACTGGTTTTCAAGACATTGTCATCAGTGCGGCACTGAAAGAGAGATGATTTGTCTTATCTAGTGTACAAGATTGTCAGCTATAAGTGGTGTTAGTGCGGATAAGATATTGTCATACACCTATCTTCTTCCTTTTTCGCTTGGGTAGGGAGATAGAAGGTAACATACAGTGCAGTTTCTCCTGCTTATAAAATTTTCCAGCTGAATAGCGAAGAACCATTCCATTTCTCTTTTTTATTTTTCTATTTTTTATAATAGGTTTGGAACATAAATCCATTTAATGACGAAATTTGATTTTTCTATTTTCAAAATAAATTTTTAGTTCAGAAATAGATTTGTAACAAAATTGAGAAGTGAAAATTTTCTACTTTTCTATTTTTGAAAAAAATAAAAATAAAAAAAAAATTCTTTTCATTGCTCGTCCTTGCCACACACACAGCCGCCTCCACTCTATTGGCCGCCCATCAGTCCCCGCCACCCCTGCGGCTACCCCCGTCGGCCGGCCATCGATCACTGCCTCCAGTCGCCCGTTGCTTGTCGATGTTGATGAATGGAAAAGAGATAGAAGAAATTTTGTGTCATTATCAAACGAATTTTTGCTTCGGAAAAAGAAATTTTATATTTAGAACAAAATGGTTATCATTCGTGCTCTAAAGATTCGTTATTTTTCGAAAAATAAATAATTTAGAAAATATTTTTCTAAATTGATTGCTTATATTGGTTAAAAAATGAATTATTTTTCGAAAAATAAATAATTTAGAAAATATTTTTCTAAATTGATTGCTTATATCGGTTAAAAAATGAATGAACAAAAGCATTTTTATCATCCACGAAAATGTTCAAATATGATTTTTTATCGATAATAATTTTTTTTTTAATTAATGATTTTAAATGACACAATTATTTATTTTTAAGAAAATAATTTTTTCAAATCGTTTATTTTTCGCGAAATAAATTAAATTAAAAAAAATTGCTACGACCACTCGAAGCGCGAACCCCTTTTCACCGCGGCGAGAAACTGAAGATACGGCACGTATTCCCCCTGGCTGGACGTTAACCGTGACCTTCTCCTCTCTATCGTTTCTCTGCAGAGCTACAATGGCGGAAGGCCACGCCAAAGTCCCAAAAGTTGGGGGAGGACGTTTGTGCTGTGTCTGCAACGAAAGGAGAGCCGCCCTCAAAAGGCCTAAAACCCTAGAGCAGGTAACTCGCTTCGTCTCTCGACCGCCAATTTCCATCGCCGGAACTCCCCATTCGTGCGTACGTGTTCGGCGTCGTTGTTTGACAAACGATCAGACGTGGGTCGTTTTAGTTGGGTCGAGTGATTCTTGCCGCGTAGGGAAAGGTTTTGAGACCGCGAAGAACGCTCTCGCGGGCTTTTGTTGGGCTTCGATCGCGAACTGCAGCCGCAGCCGCAATTTTCTAAGGGATGTGTACGATTTCCATTTCAATGAACTGTGTTATTGTGTTACTTCGTTCTGCTGAGCTCAGTTGATGATCGCTGATTGGCTATTAAATCTTTACGTATCTGGAGGTAAACGAGAATGCTGCTCTTGAGTTTGATAAATCAAAGAATGGTTGCAATTGCAAAGCCCGCCTGTGTCACACTTTGGCGCACGCACGCACACCCACAAATGCATTGTTTTGAAGAAACAAAGGAAATGTGGTCTGGTTTTTTTTAATTTTTTCATTCCGGGACCGAATTAAGTTACCGACATGCTGTGAAGATATGTAGGGAGTGTTTCTTTGCTGTTTTCGAGGACGAGATCCACCAAGTGATCGTGGAAAACCAGTTGTTCAAACCTGGGGAGCGCATTGCAATTGGTGCGTCTGGCGGTAAAGGTAAACTTTCGCAATCGGATTGGGGTCCCTTATTATTTCGCAAACCGTTTCTCTTAATTCACTCGGACGGTTTCGATGGTAGTGTTGCAACCATATTGGTTCCCTGTTGAATTTTTAGTCATATTTGTCACACAGGGACAACTTAGGGTGCACCCTCAAGAGACCTTAGTGCTGCTAGCCTGCTACTTTCTGTTACTGCCGTAGTTCCTGCTGGTTGTCATGCTTACACTTGTCATTGACCATCTGAAGCTATTTTCTATTGGTGACACTACCCAGGATGTCTTGCTTTTAATAAGTTACATCAGTTCTTTCTGCTTATTTGTTAAGTGTCTTGCTTTTCCTGTGTCATGCAGATTCTACTGTCCTTGCCTGTGTATTATCAGAGTTAAACCGGAGACACAACTATGGATTGGACCTGTTCCTCTTATCGGTCGACGAAGGAATTACTGGGTATAGGGACGATTCACTTGAAACTGTAAAAAGGAATGAAATCCAGGTGACTCTGCTTTTGCATTCTATTCTCCGGTCATTAGCTCATCTGAAGTTCTTTCCTCTCGGTTGAGTCTCTTTTTTGTTGCTCCAATCTCTCCCGAAATTCAAATTGCTGGAAGTTCGTTTGAAAGAATGTAGTCAGTAGAGCGTAGTTTGGAGTTATGGATATGAAGTAGCTGCTGCATATGCATCTTTCATGTTTCATTTGACTTCTCCATTTGGTTTTTTCATGCTTCCTCCTTAGGTGGGTATTCACTGTAACCTGGATTGTCATGAAAAGTTGTTATCTGTTTTTTTCCTTTTTTTTTTAATAAAAGAGTCGTCTCTTTTTTTATTATTATGATTAAATCTCATTGTTGTTATCTGCAGTATGGACTACCATTGAAAATTGTTTCATATAAAGATTTGTATGGATGGACAATGGATGAAATAGTAAAGATTATCGGATTGAAGAATAACTGCACATTTTGTGGGGTCTTCCGCCGCCAGGTATAGAAGCCATCTTCTACTCTATCTAGGGGAATGGGGATGTGCACATCCTTTTATTTGCAGCCCTTGGAATATGAATCGCTAAAAAGTTCTGTTGACAACAGCATGTTAAATGGGATACTGTGCCATTGCACACTTCCTACCATTCCCCCAACATTAAAAAGACTACTTCACCTAATCAGGGCCAAATCTAATTATGCCTGCTGAATTGCTTTACCTTTAAGGCTCTTGACCGAGGCGCTGCGCTGCTGAAAGTAGACAAGCTTGCTACTGGACATAATGCCGATGATATTGCTGAAACAGTTCTTTTAAATATTTTGCGGGGTGACATTGCCCGGTAAGTAGTTATTTATCAGAGCTTACCTCTGGTTTCTTTTTTTTTTCATTCAAGACTTATTGCCCTTCTATTTATATTGTAGATTGAGTAGGTGTACTGCAATTACAACTGGTGAAGACGGACCAATTCCTAGGTGTAAACCTTTTAAGTACACGTACGAGAAAGAGATCGTCATATATCCTAATAGTTAAATTCTTCTGCATTTTACCTTTAAAGAACATATATGAGAAGGAGATTGTGATATGTGTACTGGAGTATTCACAACTGTTACTTTCTTTATTGGTGCCATTGATTGCAACCCTTAACCTACTCAACACGTATGCATATTTCAAGAGGCTGGATTATTTCTCAACTGAATGTAAGTGTCCTCTGCCAACTCCCACTTCCCTACATTGTGCTTGATGTCACTTGTGCAGAACTTATCTGGAATTTCGACCTTCCATTTGTCTTGTATGGGTTCACTTGTTAGTTCATCATGTTTGTGTTATGGTTATATAATCTGCAACCTAGTCACGTGAAGTTCAAGAGCTTTACTTGGGTATGTTGTTTCATATTAGATGAAACATATTGTTGCTGTATTTCGTCCACTCCACAGATCCTCTTTGTTTGCTGATTCACATCAATATATTCCCAGCAGTAGACTGGATGCACTTGATAAATATTTCTGTGCTCACGTGTGAGGTGTCATTCTGGGATATGCACTTTAATGGGGATGTAAAGTTTCAAAGATTTTTCCCTTCTAAATGGTTTGGCTGTATCTTCTAGAGTTTTAGCATACTCTGTGTGCGCTGGGCTAGATGTAGAAGTATTCTCATATTGCACCATGATTATATTATATGATCACTGCTTGGACTTTGCTGAATTAGTTTACCGAAATGGCAGGCATCTATTCTCCTAATGCATATCGGGGTTTTGCTCGTGAGTTTATTAAGGACCTGGAAAGAATAAGGTCTTGTTAACCTCTTTCTTACAATGCTGCAGTATGATGTGATTTATTATTCTTTTGCATTCTTTTGCTTACTACTCGATTTATAAGATTGCAGACCTAGAGCCATACTCGACATTATAAAATCAGGTGAAAATTTCAGAATATCTACTTCGACAAAAATGCCAGAGCAGGGGACGTGTGAACGCTGTGGTTACATTTCAAGCCAGGTAAAGTGGACTTCTCTTCCTCGGGTCTGACTTTAAAATGTAAGAAAGGAATTGACACAGCTTCTCTCATCAGCTATCTATGCTGAGTAAAATTTGAACTTTAATATATTTTGTTGGTCTTGTTGGAACATAATTCACTTATTGTGTGTTATCTGGCAGAAATGGTGTAAAGCCTGTGTTTTGCTGGAAGGACTGAACAGGGGGTTGCCAAAACTGGGAATAGGGCGGACTCGAGTCTCGGATAAGGATCAAAAGAAGGATCTCAAGCAGAGTAATGGAACGAAGAGCATAGCAAGTAAACAGTGTGGGTCGTTGGATTTTTAAATTAGATCTGCCAAGTAGCAGCTTGTGGCTGGCGTGTTCGAGTCTCGTTACGTGCACATATCAGCTCAAGGATACCTAACATTTGCGAGATTATTAATACCCTTTACTGGTTGAGGAGCCGATCTCTGCACTCATTGCTACTGACCCAATAATTTTTCTGCCAATGGTGAGTTTACAGTAGCACTTGGACTGGGAAGAGAATGAAGCTAACATTATCAGCAATCCATGCAGCACCTGATAATACTGCGCACAGGAGCTATTGTGTCATATGTCGAAATCTAGCTAGTTCACTTTGTACCGTCCTACCGATGATTAGTGACTACTTACCTAGTTCTTTTGGATGCCATTTTTCTCGGCGCAAGTTCTCAGCCAAACCATTGTTAATATATCTTTCAGGGTATTTGATGGTTTCAGATTCTTCTTTGAGATTCCCATCACGACTGTATGAGTCCCATTTTAATCAATCATCTGGTTGTGATATTTGGTCTCATGGGTTTTCATTGGGTTCAGGAGTTCCTGCCGGTCAATGGCTCTGGGCTGTGAATGGGTAGGAGGAATACTCGGAATGAAAGCTTGGTAGCTTTTGCCTTCCCTTCTATGCATAGATGTTGTTTGCCATTTTTTTTTACAGTTTCTCTTTGCAGAATAGAACAGACAACATGGCTGATATAGAGTGAACTGTCGAAATCACACTGCCTTCTCCCATGTCCTAAGAGATATCTCTTGTGTTAAAAGAGAAGTTGTTAACGCCTTTTGCGTAACTACAGTGGGATTGGTGAAAACTGGAAGACGAAAGTGGGTGATTAGTTGGCACTATGAAATATATGGTATGATCATAATTTGCAAATTCGCAATGCGAAACTCAAGTCCGAAGCGCGGGAAGTCGGAGATGATAAGAACAAAGGAAATGATTTGTTTTGGGAAAATGGTGATCCCTCGCGACCATTAACAGGACACTTGTGATGTCAAGTCCAATGATGGGGACAGCAGCATGTGAGGCGACTGTCCGGTTGGTTGGTGCTCTCTTAGCTAATAGCCAGGGAAAAGTTAGTGGCCCATGAGATGCGTTGATCGCACAAGGAATTTGAAAATTGGAACCCCAAATAATCATATTCTCCAACAAACCTAGTGTTTGACCCCGCCTTTGTCCCACGAGAAAAAGTCTGTCTACTTGAAGGAAATGTCAATTTCTACCGCAAATCCTTCTCTTTTCAAAGACGATAGTTTTGCATGAGAGAAAAGATGGTGATGGCCCTGATGGGCTTTTCGAATGCTGGGATTAGAATGTTGCTTGTCGCGATTCGATTTCTCTTTCACACTAACTTCACCAGTTAATTACGATGAGTAAACGACTGATGAGATGAGGGCACGTGATTTTCGAAAAAGGGTTAAAAGCAGAAACCTTGTCAGAAGCGAGGGAAATCTAGCGACGCGTTCCAAAAATGTCCAAAAAAGAAAAGGTGAGAAAAAGAAAGCTGCGTTGCGTTGCAGCTGTGATTTCAATCCTAAAACCTGTTGCCGACATTTTTCTATCTGTACGGGGGCTGTGTTTAAAAGCACGACGTTTTCTTCTCAAAAAGACCAAAAGAAAAGAGAAAAGAATTGAAAAGGTTGTTGCCGGGGCAGGGGGAGAGATGGGGGTTGTCAGATGAAGGTGCCAGGAATTTGTTGACCGATGTAACTTTACGGACACTCGACAACGACGCACCGACCAGGGGGGCGATTTGTTGTTCTTACTTCCCGCCGCGAGATTAATCCGGGAAATGATGTTATGAAAGACGATTAACTTTCACAAAAAGTCCAGCAGGTTTATCAAGGTTCGAAAATGAGGGGAAATTGGTGGGAAAAAAGTTCGAAAGTTTTGGATCTTAGCGCGTGCCATATGAAAACATTCGAATGAAATTTTGAAGACATTAAGCACAAGGAGATTGCAATTGGGTAAGTTGTATTCCTCTCGTGCAAATAATGGGGGACCTATATGTTCTGCAAAATTGAAACTTGACAGTAATAAAATAATCTTCTGAAAAAGTTTAGTGTGTCCTGAGAATAATTTTTGCTTTTACTATGTGAAAGTTAACCCTCTTTTTTTTTTCAAGTGAAATGCCCACTTATAGGCAAGTAAAATTCAAATCCGATTTGTAAGACGCGAGTCCAGAATCGGATGGAAGACCCAAATGTAATATTATCTTGCGCTTGTGAGTGCGAAGGATTGAATTTGTGTATATGCCTAGATCCTAGATCATCGTTCGAATCTTTAAAAATCTCCGCACGTTGACATAAGCCATTGACAATATATATACACACACTATAATTTCAACAGATTATCTTTTCATTTGGCATGAAAGAAAACGAGCAAATTAACCCCTTCAGAATCAGCACAATTGGCTATGGTGTGAAATGATTTCCAACTGAAGAATTATAGGTTATTTACTCAAATGTCACAAATTATGTGCAGATTATCACGGGTCAAGCAACGTGCACATTTGAAAAGGCCCCGTTCTTAACCGATTAATTGGTTTCGATGCACGTTCCCCGAATTTCCAAGTAGCCGATCCTTTGCGGTCGTATCTCGGGGTTATAAGAGAAAGAAAAAATAAGCAGAGTTACCACTCGGAAAAAAAGACAAAAGTGGAGACAGAGCGGCAAACTATTAAAGGAACCAACGCGAACCATAACTCAAATTATGTAAACGAACGAAACTCTTACACAACCAAATTTCACAAGTTAAGACGAAAATCCTGGCGTCAGCAAATGATCGTCCATCACGTGCTACGTCGCGTCAAAACTCGACCACACAAGCTCCACGAACCCCCCCAAACAACTCGAGCTCCTCGTGTAAGACGGACAGCCCCATGTGGATCTCTCGGTCGCCTGCCCACGGCACCAATTCCTATTTAGCTCCAACGTAATGCATGGACCCCCACCCCCTACCGCCGACACTCCAAAGCCAATTCCCATAAATTCCTTTAATCACCTCCGTTCACATGTTCGGCTTGATCTCATCTTGTCCCGATACAATGATGCTGGAGATTCCGTTTATTTCACGAAAAATTAATAATTTAAAATAAAAAATTCCTAATTTCGATCGTTTATATCTCTCGGGGAAAGAGGCGATAGAAAATATTTTCATTTTTAAAAAAAATATTTAGGCATGAATTATTATTAATAGTTGAAACGTTTTTTCATTGATCCATTTTTGTAAGAGATAGCAATGATTAAAATTGTTGTTAATGTTTCGCGAAACCAATAGAGCCCTTGGTCACATCAGTCATCGCTTTTTAATGTTCACCGCATTAGAAAGCAACGGGCATGCGAGATGATAACCATGTTTTGAGCCGAGGCATCAGATTGTGCTCTCAGGTCACCAATCAACTCACATGTTCTTTCCATTTTTTGAATTAGCATTCCCTCAAACATAGATAATTCTGTTGTTCTCTTTCTATCCGATCCTAAACACACACACACACAAAAAGTCGTGGTGGAATTCGTGATACTCGGTGCTCCCAACTAATTGGACCGACACGCGGTTTTTCGGGACTAAACAAAAGAACCCGAGTATCCCGAGGCAAGATTCGAACCTGCAGATGTCGGTTCCCGAGTCGAAAGCGCGAGATGACCCTTGTCGCCGGGATCAACTTCAGGGTGGGGCGAAAAAAAAGTTTCGATAAGTAGAACCGAGAATCAAATTAAAAAAAAAAACAGGAGATAAGCAAAGACCCTCATGCTTCCTAACTAATTTTTGACTAGTCGATTAAAATTTGGTTTTTCCCTCCCTCTTTTGTACCTTCATTATTGTACCTCCGCGACTCCATCGGTCAGCCAGAGAGCCAGCTACATTATCTGTACCGCACCTACATAACACAGTCGTGCTCCATTCCTTCTTTCTATGTTTTGCGCCCCTCCCTCCAATTTCCAAGCAAGTCCCACACATTTCACATTCACATTCACCTCAACTTTTACTTGCCAACTCCATACCCGCAAGCGCTCCTCCCACTCCTCCTTTCCCAAAATAAATACGCGAAGCAACACTGCCAAAGGTTGTCTGTCACTCTCTTGACTAAGAGCAAGAGAGCAAGCTCTCTCTCTCTCTCTCTCTCTCTATCCGTGTCTCTCTTTCTCTGTCCGTGGCAAGAAAACGGCGCTGAAAATGGCGGGAGGCGCGATCTGCGCTTCGCTGGCGGTTGCCCTGTTCTTCGCCGTCGTCGGAGCTGAGAACCCGTACAGGTTCTTCAACTGGAACGTGACGTACGGCGACATATACCCCCTCGGCGTCCGTCAGCAGGTGAGTCCTGGAAATGGGATGCGAAGGCGCTATTCACTGCTATATTGACTCGAGTGATGTTGGAGATTCTGAGCGCGAGCTTGCGGGTTTTGAAGCGATGGGTTTCTTGGTTTGGAATTTCGGATTTTGATGGAGAATGAGATTCGTTGTTGCTGTGGTCGCAGGGGATACTCATCAATGGCCAGTTCCCAGGTCCCGACATCCACTCGGTCACCAACGACAATCTCATCATCAACGTCTTCAACAGCTTGGACGAGCCTTTCCTCATCTCCTGGTCGGTCTCTCTCTCTCTCTCTCTCTCTCTGTTCCCTGACCTGTGCTTTGTATTCATCTCCATTTCGAACCTACTTCTTGTTCAAGCTTTCGTTCCAAGTGAGTAGTGTTCACTCGCGTTACGCGCGAAACGCTCTTGGTCTGTGCGCTGCTTTGATTTGCGGCTTCGCGGAAACTGCGATGCTTCGGCCTTTAGTTTTGTTCTTTTGCGCATCTTTTGCCGCGCCCCTCATTCATCAGCTTTTCTCAAAGTCCCTTCAAGAAAGCAAATGCCAGCTGATGCTGAAAGAATCTTTGTGCAAGGGAATTGATGTTAGATCTGGCCAAATGTCCATTTCCCATTTAAACTTTTTGAGTACACACCAATCGATCTGCACCAACGATTCGCCTGATCACGGGCAGGGTATAAAGGCAGGAAAGAGAGTTTATTCCCTACTGCATGTGTTCCGGTCACGAATCGGCATGATGTGTTCATTCGGCAATCATTATATTACTTTATTTCAACATTCTTAATTCGAAATGATATTGAATGCGTGCCGTACTAGCATGTTACTCTCTTTTCAAGTGATGCTATTTCACTAATAACTATACTAAACAATGGGAAGATACCCGTGTTATTTCTTGGTCGCATTACGTTTTATCCGCTGCATAATTCATGCATGACGATGTGCGAAGATATGTTCGGACATCAACGAGGTGACGTCGTTTTAGCGAATTACATGTTCTTGATCCGAACAGTCTGGCAGAAGGTTAAGTGCACGTGCTTCGTTATCATTTTCTTTGATAGGCGTGCTTCATTATTGAATCGCAGCTAGTTTCGATCTACCCCTTTTTGGGAAGTGATCCATTCCACCCGCATTAAACAAAAGTAGAGGATAAGTTCTTGGGTGCCTGAATTGCCATTTTGTTGCATTAAATCCCTAACGGATTGCCTCAGTCACTCAGTGTGACCCATGAAAACTCTGTGGTCCACGTCTGCTCTCTTTAGCTGTCTTCAACTACACACGACCTTTTCGAGAAGGATCTTAGTCAGTAGGGACACAATCATGGAGTCTTGGCTTGAAGCTCAGGTTACATTACGGTGCACTAAAGGAGAAAAGGCAGTCGCTTATCTCAGTGGAAGCACTGACCTCCACCTTCTACTTCCCATTTTCTACTGAAATACTGATGATTCGTGCCCATTTCTTTATTAGCTCCACACGGTACTTAAGACCCACGACTTGCTCCAAAAGAAACTGTGGCCATTTCGATGGCGAAAGCCTGTTATATTAAGAGTTCTTTTCCACTGTTAAGGATTGTTCTCTTAGATGTGCGGAAAAGAAAGTCTGTTGGCCAGATTTAACACATGCCACTAACTAAATTTTACTTGATATAGTAGTGGTGAACCGCGGTGCATTTGAGCTCAGGGCCATGTAATACTTAATTGAGTGAACGGGTTTCGTATGAATATCAGCTATTTTTTTATCAGGTTTATTTTCAGGTAGTGTCTTTCTGTGCGAGAAAGAAAATTGCTCGTTGCTTTACCAAGGAAAAAAGGAAGATTGCTTGTTGCTCTTGACTTGGTAAATCACAGAGTCATCTCTGCGCCCCTGAAACCAAAACGAAAAGAGGAATAGGGGAAAAACAAACAAAAACAAGAGTCATCTTCAAAAGGGTCGCATTTGTTCGCAGCATTCATCTTGAAAGAAACACTGTTTTCTTTGATGTACTCGTATATTATTGGACATGGCAGGCAGTTTGGTTGATGTCTATTAAGTTCTCTCGTGTAGGAGTGGAGTCCAACAGAGGAGGAACTCCTTTGAGGATGGGGTGTATGGCACAACTTGCCCTATACCACCCGGTAGAAACTTCACGTACATCTTCCAAGTGAAGGATCAAATAGGGAGCTTCTTCTACTTCCCATCCCTTGCATTCCACAAGGCAGCTGGTGGGTTCGGTGGGATCCGGATTCTTAGCCGACCTCTAATTCCTGTCCCATTTGCAGATCCGGCCGGTGATTACACTGTTCTTATTGGAGACTGGTATAAGGCCAATCACACGGTAATTACGTTCACTCTTTAACTTATAAACCTTGTTATTGCCACATATACATATGTCTGGCTGCTGCTTACTTAGGTTGAATTGAATAGTTTCCATGATTTTGGCGCTTCTTTTGGATAGAGTCTTCTGATGGCCATGTGATCTCACTTGTCAAATCAATCGATTTATTTTCTCGCGATTTTTAAATGTTTATTAAGAACGAGATCGGATAAATGGATGAGTGATTCGTAAATGTTGCTTGATGGACTTTTCGTTTCGGGTCCCTATCATGGGTGGAGTCTGCCCACTCAGGCACAAGTGGGACTCTTTGATGTTCTTGCTTATTTGAAATGCCGTGATTGATGGCATTTGGGTGGGGTTGGCTACATGCATGTCATGCTACTTAAAGAGAAAAATCAATTATCGCCATGCTTCCATAAAGTTCAGTGGGCCCTGTGGTGTCCGCATAACTTTACAAAGAATATTCTGGTACAAGCTGGAGGATCGATCTGAATTAGAATTAGCATTGCATCAACGTAGATTGTCCATAAGAAATCATTGCATGGAATCTTCGAAACGACAAATGATGTCAATACGCTATTTTTTCTCGTGCTCCGTATAATCAATATCCCGGAAAACCGTATGTTTTCTTGATACGTATACTAATTAGTCACTTCAAGAATCTCATAGAAACTTGTTCTTGTTTTTATTCATAGTTAGCCCATGTATTCTGTCATCCTTAACTGTGGACAGTTCCGCAATATTTGTCAAGCATGAGTGACTACCACCCTCGTATTAAATGTGTGCCTCACGGTCACATGGTGTGACTGCTTCTCTGAGACCATGTTTCAGTTCGCAGGCAGGAAGAAGCCTTGTATTAAGTACCACGATCCATCCCTATACTGTCCCTCAATACCTTAGGCTTTTAGGTGGCTTCTCCTCGTGCTGACAGCAGGACAAGGTCCCAATGGCCATGGCCCCTCCAGCCTTTAATTCAATCACATGCATGTGGCTCAGGTTCAGCACTAAATAAGATGGCTATGGCGAATTAATGGCAACTGAAACGAAGATAATTCCTTCTATGCTTCGGCAGTAAACCACCCAGCGACATTTTTTTTACGCGTTCATCGTGATTCGTGATCTAATTCCAATGCTTACCACTCCATGACAAGGCCTTGACTTCCACATGTATGGGCCTGCTCTGCAGTTGTTTCTTCTACAGACTGCACTAATGAATTCCTTGCACTTCTTTTTACCGGGCTTGTATCTTTAAGTAGTGTTTTCTTTTGAAGAAGCCTATGCTTGACGTTATGCGTTCTTGCAGACTCTCAAGGCCACACTTGACCGAGGTAAGAAACTACATTACCCTGATGGGATCCTCATAAATGGTCGTGGACCAAATGGCATCTCTTTCAACGTGGAACAAGGTCAGTCCTCAGTTTGATCCCTTAGCCGGTGGCTTTCGCTCAATCTTTACGGATATATTATTCCCGAAAATTTACATCATCGGTTCTATTCCACTAAAATCACAATTCTCACATTATTCTTGAAAAACTCATTCATGACCGACTGCTTTCCGGCTTCCCCCTTACAGGAAAAACTTACAGGCTTAGGATATCAAACGTGGGATTGATGAATTCCCTCAACTTCCGTATTCAGGGCCACAAAATGCTGTTGGTGGAGGTGGAGGGGACGCATGTGATGCAAACTCACTTCTCCTCTCTGGATGTTCATGTGGGCCAATCTTATTCGGTTCTAGTCACAGCAGATCAACCTGCTCAAGACTATTACATTGTGGTTTCGACTCGGTTTTACTCTCAAATCAATACCACAACTGGCATTCTTCGTTACAGCAACTCTGCTGGCCCAGTCTCTGGCCCTCCTCCTGGTGGACCCACCATCCAAATTGATTGGTCCCTGAACCAGGCCCGTGCTATCAGGTTAATCTCATTCGCGATTCCCATTTTCAGCGTGCGATGATAATCTTCATTTGCTTATCTTACAAATCGCAAGAACTGCATGCACATCGAGCGTAGTCCCGTAGTCATTACTAATAAAACGAGATTTTGTCCTAGCAGTACTGCGCATTTGTTTGAGAAACTATGGCTATTTGACCTGCCGCTCCCTCATATCACTCCTTAATTTCTTTCGGGACAAGTCCTAGTGGATTTCTATCTTCAAATTCTCACTTCGATTTAACGTTGAACTTAGTTGATCCAATAATGATTCAGGACATACTGGCATATGATGGTTCCACTTAACCTTCAACCTTCGGAAGCCTAAACACAATTAAAACCATTGCAGGACTAATCTTACAGCGAGTGGACCAAGGCCTAACCCCCAAGGCTCATATCATTATGGTCTCATCACCCCCGCCAGAACGATCAGACTGTCGAGTTCTGCCGGTCAAGTTAATGGGAAACAAAGATATGCTGTTAACAGTGTCTCCTTCATCCCAGCGGACACTCCTCTTAAGCTTGCAGACTACTTCAACATCGGTGGAGTTTTTCGGGTAAATAGCATATCAGATAGACCCACCGGTGGAGGTATATATCTCGACACAGCAGTTTTGGGTGCTGACTACAGAGCCTTCATTGAGATAGTGTTTGAAAATGGCGAGGACATAGTCCAGAGTTGGCACCTTGATGGATACAGTTTCTTTATTGTGGGGTAAGTATTCTGGACTCCAATTGAGCCTTCTAAACAGTTGGTTAATGTTAATTGAGAGATATCTGAATAACTGCAGCATGGATGGAGGGCAATGGACAACTGACAGTCGAAATCAGTACAATCTCCGTGATGCTGTTTTCCGGAGCACCACTCAGGTAATAAAAGTTTGGTTTTTCCTTTCCTGAAGCAAGCTACACTGAGTTAAAACTTGTTCGTCTCAGAATTCTTATGCAGCTTTCGGTTTAGTTTCGTAAGAAAGTCGCTATGTAATTTTGCGATGTGACAACAGAATACATCTCTAGGGGTAGAACATCTCTTCTCAAACGAATCAAATGTTGGCAAAATTCTGGTAGTCAACGTGATATCATGATGGCTATTGCAGGTTTACCCCAAGTCATGGACGGCCATCTATGTGGCACTAGATAATGTGGGAATGTGGAACTTGAGGACTGAATTTTGGGCGCGACGGTACCTCGGACAGCAACTCTATTTGCGAGTTTACACTTCATCGACTTCGCTGAGAGACGAATTCCCCATTCCGAAGAACGCGCTTCTGTGCGGCAGAGCGCAAGGGCGACACACGAGACCCCTCTAAAGATTTCGAGCCTATAACAGTTTGAGTAACCGTGTTGCAGAAGTCTCTGATACTCAAGTTGAATGGTCTAGAGTAGAGGGTATTTGATTTATTCAAGATGCTCTTGAATGCTTTTGCTAGAGCTATTGTGTAATTTCAGACATTGAAAGACCTCAGCTCGAGGTCGCATTCTTTTCTTGTTCAAGATTCTGATGGCGATAATATTTATATTTACAGATCGAGATTCTTCCGTGTCGTATCAGGCTTTCTGAGAAAAAAATTTTCTGCTTTTGCTTACTTCTGCTAATAATACTTTCCCTTGAAAATGTTAATGTAATGCTACGATGAGTTCGGAGACGATGAACCAGTGGTCCGCTGGACTCGCCCAAGTACGTGAGGCTCGAAGGCTTGGACCTGGTTCCTACGTAAGTTGGATCAACCCATATATCAGTTCTGGCCCGGTTCGTTTGGAAGATTTTACGTACTTTTGTAATCATTGGTTGGTAAAGCCGGGCCCGGTGGTGGCCAGGGGTCATCGGTTCCATACTGTTAGATCCGGTTTTCATTTTTTTGGAACTTGTAATTTGAAACCTACTGTATATATTTTGAAACCGACCTGGAACCTATTTGGTTCCAGAGTCTACTCGGAAATTAGCTTTTGTTATTGCTTTATAATTTTTTTGAAAGTAAGAACGACACAGCCACTCAAAGTAAAACATCATACAAAACACACAAAAATGTAAAGCAATAGGGAAGTTAAGCTCATTTAAGAATAATAAATCATCTTCTTTCAACTTCAACAAACGGGTTTTAACCGTTTCCCACTTGTGGGTAGGTTCAACACCCAAAACTAGACCCTACCGGCACAGTACCGGTTTCAAAAATTTGAAACTCGAAACTGGAATTATTTCCACTGAAATTGAGAATCAAACCTATTTTTATGAGAGGTCTAGCCTGGGTACATATAGATCACTGATCGATTGCACAAGCCAGTGTTGGCTCCCGCCCTCCATGGCTAAAAACTTCCTGTAATTTAAGGAACAAAATTTTCATTTTATATTGGGTTAATACCACAAAAAATCCTAAACTGGTACAGTTGTAACAATTTTACCCCAAACCATTTTTTTAACCACAAAAAACCCAAAACTGGTATACTTGTGACAAATTTACCTCGAACTATTTTTTTGACCGCCAAAAACCCCGAATTGATATACTTGCAACAATTTTACCCCAACTAATTTTTTAATATTAATTTTTATTTTTTCAAATTTTTTTAATTTTTATTTTTTCTTTTCTTTTTTTCCTTAATCTTCTTCGTCTTCAATGTTTGGCCGGTCGCCGGTCCGACGACTGGCTAGAGGCGGAAGCCGGCAAGGTCGGCCTCGCCGACTGCTGGCGAGGCTCGACCTCGCCGGTGTTGGGCGAGGCTCGACCTCACCAGCAGCCGGCGAGTTCGAGCCTTGCCAGATCTGGCAAGGGCTCGGCCTCATCCAGCGCCGGCGAGGTTAGCCTCGCCCTGCAACGGCGAGGTTAGCCTCGTCCAGCAACGGCGAGGTTGGCCTCGCCTAGCACTAGCAAGGTTGAGCCTCACTAGCGGCCGGTGGGGCCAATCTCGCCGGCTTCCGTCTTTAGCCGGTCGCCGGTTCAGCGACCGGCCAAAAATTGAAGATGAAGAAGATTAAGGAAGAAAAGAAAAGAAAAAATAAAAAAAATTAATAAAAAAATCGAAAAAATAAAAAATAATATCAAAAAATTAGTTGGGTAAAATTATCACAAGTATATCAGTTCGGGATTTTTTATGGTAAAAAAAATAGTTCGAGGTAAATTTATCACAAATGTACAAATTTGAGATTTTTTGTGATTAAAAAAATAATTTAAGGTAAAATTGTCACAAATTTAGGGTTTTTCGTGGTATTAACCTAATTTTTAACACCGGGCTTATAGTATCTGAACTTTCGCCACTTCAAAGTTCCAACCTGCTCCGAGCGGGACTGCAAACTCTCAAAACCCTAAGCCCGCCTCCTCGGCGACGCTCCTCTCGCTTCCATCCCAAGCTCCGGCCCCCAGGTAACTGCCGAATCCTCGAGCTAGGGTTTCGGTTCTCTTGCGGATCGTCGCTTTGCGAACCAGTTCGTAGCTTCGTCTTGCCGCTCCTTTCGTGTTTGCGAACGTACACTGGAAATGAAACTGAAAATGGTCGTACTAGGATGCGTTTTACTATCGGCATTTCGATCCGAATAGCTGTTTGTGCTGTCGCCTTAAAGTTGAAAACGCTGTTGAAAAATGTTGGCGCAGGTGGAATTTCCGAGCATCTCGCGAGTCGTCGTCTCCGATGGCGGTACGTTCGGCTGATGACTTCCACGACCGTTGGTTCTATTTAGTATGTTTCGTGGTTCTCTGTGTGATTTGATTTTTCCTTTCTCCTTTGTGGGGAAATCTCAGGTTGATAGATTGTTCAAGGATGAGGCTAGCGAAGAAAAGGGTGAGCGTGCCAGGATGGTGAGTTTCGATCGCAACCGTCCCTCTCGTGATAGTTGGTAGATTGCTTTTGGAGTCACTTATTCATTCATTTTTGTTAACTACAACATCCTAAGTAAGTTAGTTAACTGATGGTGAATGAGAGTTGAGTGACTTGAGTGTAAGTCGGTGATTATCGTCATTCCAGAGCCATTTTAAATTGAATGCACCGAGTATTGACGAATTTGCGACTTTTGGTTTCAGGCATCCTTTATTGGAGCAATGGCAATTGCCGACTTGGTCAAGACTACCTTAGGTCCAAAGGGAATGGTAAGATTTACAGTTGTCTGAGCGTATTGTCTACTTGGAATGGCTTCCATAAGTTAGCCTCTGCCATGTATATTGGATTGGAGTTCTGCTTGATGTAAAGTATGGATTGGAGATGCTACTAAAGCTAGCCTTCTTTATGTGATTTGAAGTTGGTTCTCTTGACGTATCTTTTCTTCAGGATAAGATTCTGCAATCAACGGGCAGAGGACGGGAAGTTACTGTTACAAATGATGGTGCCACCATCTTAAAATCTCTTCATATTGACAATCCGGCTGCTAAAGTCCTTGTCGGTATCCTTCATATAATATGAGTGCTATTCTACTACAAAAAATTCTCGTTATTCATAGTTGCATGTTTTTCTGGTCGTTGAAGATTTTCCTGGAAGGCAGATCTGATATATAAGGAAAATTTAATGATTTTGATTCTAAGTATTCTACTTATTCAAGAATCAAGTTTATTCTTAGGAAACCTGTAGAGCTGTTAACTGTGGCAGATGGGGAAGACTTTTTATTGCTTGTTTTCTGGAGACCGATGTCAATATCTGGCGTGGCAAAACTTAATATGTGAGTCAGATATCTCTAAAGTTCAGGATGATGAAGTTGGTGATGGGACAACATCGGTTGTTGTTTTGGCTGGAGAGCTTCTACGTGAGGCAGAGAAGCTGGTCAATGCAAAGATCCACCCAATGACGATAATTTCTGGTTTGTGCTTGTATTCTCTATTTGGGATGCTTTGAGTTTCTTGTGGATTCTATCCTCTTTTTTGGAAATCCTTACCTTCAATTCTTGTTTCCTCTGAATCATACAATTCCTTACGCAGTTCTCTTCGATGGTAGCTAAGCTTGTTCTGATATTTTCCACTGAGTTTGAGATGGGAATATTGGTATCTGTGAGCATTATTCCTCTTGTGATCCCTGATTATTTTCAATATCCTTTCAATTCATCTTATCTAATCATAGTCATAACCACATCAAACCTTCTTCTATTGTAATGAAAACTGTTCTGCCAGTTCATGAAGTTTATGCATTGATGGAGCGCTGAACACATTATGTCCACTAGAAAAATCTTTCCCTCAGGCATCCTTGATGTTAGCTGGATGACACTGTATCAATTGTTGGGTAAACATCTTTGATTAGGTTTTGTGATATATATATCGTCTAAGTGGATGCTAATGATAGGTCGTTCCATTCATGCTCAGTCAAGAGGAATGTTGGTCCTCAGGATACATCACATGTTTAAAATGGTGTATGGGTGCTGTTATAGATAGGGTTATCATTGCTGTAGAATGTTGAGGGCTATTTTTTATCTGAGTTGTCTTATTTCGTCCTTAATCTCTAACACCTTTTACCTGCAGGATATCGAATGGCAGCTGAATGTGCACGCAATGTTCTATTACAGAGGGTAGTGGATAACAAAGAAGATGCAGGTATTCTTCCCGACGATCGCATGTGATTAGCTTCCAACATTTAGATAACTTGCGTTTCTACCATGAATATTTTATTGTCGAGTATCCTTGGGTGTAGTAAAATTCACACTAATTAGATATATATGTAGGTTCAGTTGTTTTGCTGCTGCTAAATTCAACAACCTTTCTCTTTTGCTTGTTCATCTGTTCAACATCTGTGCCTTTTGTAACATGTATGACTAATTCACAATCATCTTTGATGATATAGAGAAATTTAAGTCAGACTTGATGAAGATTGCAATGACTACTTTGAGTTCCAAAATATTATCTCAAGACAAGGAACATTTTGCCCAGTTGGCTGTTGACGCTGTTATGAGGCTAAAGGTATATTTCCAGTTATCAAGCAGAAAAAAACTTTTCAGTGCTGCTGATTTCAATTCTAAGTTTCTTCGCATATATATGTCTGGAGTACACGATCTTATTTGTAGTATCTATTAGCTTGCCCTGCCTCTGTTCTTGAATGCTTTGTTGATATGTCACTTGGACTGTCAGGGCAGCACAAACTTAGAATCCATACAGATTATCAAGAAGCCCGGAGGATCTTTGAAGGATTCTTTTCTGGATGAGGGGTGAGTGACTTAAGACCTTGTGAATTTCTTTGCACCTGCCTTCGCATTCACTTAAGTTGGAAACTTTATGATATGTTCACCTCTTTTGCAATCGGCTTTTCATTTAGCAATTTTCCTTGTATCTAATCCAATACGTTTGATAGTTCATTTTCATAGCAAATCTTACTTGGGTATGCTCTGTTGTCCAGTTTTATTCTTGACAAGAAAATTGGTATTGGGCAACCTAAACGTATAGAGAATGCAAAAATTTTGGTGGCAAATACTGCAATGGACACCGATAAAGTCAAGATATATGGAGCACGTGTTCGTGTTGATTCTATGTCTAAGGTTGCTGAGATTGAAGGGGCTGAGAAAGAAAAGATGAGGGAAAAGGTGCAGAAGATTATAGCTCATGGAATCAATTGCTTCATCAATAGACAATTGATATACAACTTCCCTG